GGAATATATACACCTATTCCAACCTTTTGATTAACAGGTTCCTTAGATCCATCCGTAAATATTTGTAATGTTGAATAAAATGTATTATTTAGAATAGCATTAACCTCCTTTCCAATGTATTCACCTTTGGGCTTGTCTAGTAAGCTCAAGTCTACAAGTGGTTCAGGGACTCTCCATAGTGGGGCATCAGTGAGTGGTACATTAGGATGTGGTACATCTTATTATCCATGCCATACTCCTTGGCCCATACTCTACTCTTCCATCCAAAACTACATCCTCCATCATACGAATATTCCCAGCACTCCTCCAGTACTTTAGGAGTGAGGTGAGTACTTACTGACTGTTGAAGATACACCCAATACGTCATTGTCAATTTTATCCTTCTAAGTTCAAGAGGCATCTCGCCCATTTCTACCCCAATTGCATCTACAGGTGATGTTTTAATTGCTCCACAACATATTCTTAATGCTCTGGATTGGATGATATCTAATTTTAAGTAAAGATTTGGTTGCTGACCCATATACAATGCATCCATAGTCAAAGCAGGAACGAATCAATGCTTGATACATACACAACAATGCACTACGACTAGCTCCCCAATTGTGACTGGCAACTGTACGCATGCAATTTATGATCATTCTACATTTTGATTCAATTTTACTTATATGCAGCTTCCATGTTAATTTTTCATCAAACCATGAACCAAGGTATTTAAAAACAGGTACTTTTTCCAATGTTTGATCATACAACTTCAAATCTAAATGTTCAATCTTCTTGTTCTTAGTAAATAACATAGATTTTGTTTCTGAAACAGAAAAATTTAAACCCCAATCCAGGGACCACTCCTCCACTTTTTTAATTGATGCCTTTAACTACATTTTTAATATTGCGTCCTCTCTTCCATAATGCTCCATCATCTGCAAAAAATGCTAATCCTATTCCTGTTTTTATTTCATTTGATCAAAAACATCATTAATCATTAAATTAAACAATATTGGGCTAATTGCACCATTTAGAATGTTATACGGATCTGATATTTCTTCTCCAATTTTAACCTTGACGTTAAAACGTTCAAATAGAAAGTCTAAAACCCAATTACAAACTTTTCCACCTATACCTAATTTATTCAGTTTAATTAGCAAACCTTCCCTCCACAAAGTGTCATAAGCCTTTTCTATATCAAAGAATACTGCAAACATTATATAGGCTTTTTAAACTTCATTTTCAAATAGTATCAAAGCATCTACTGTTGATCTACTTTTCCTAAATCCACTTTGAAAAGTTGATAACATTTCCCTTTTCTCCAAAATGTAATTCAGTCGC